CTCTAGCCTAGATCTAGGACGATTCTTTGTGACCGACCAGGCGTGTTGCTTGATCAGGGGACGCCACTCTTCTCACTTCTCATAAAACGCTGTGCCCTCTGGCCCTCTGGCTCTGGTTTGGTAGGCTAGCCAACACACAACATACAACAGCTTCTAACTTTAGCCTACAGCGTAATTTACAGTGTGCAAATTATAAGGTTACATCACGGCCACAGTGTGTTCTCAATCTCTCTCTTATAATTTAGCGGTTGTGCTGTTCAAATCAAGTCAGCGGACTCGACAATTTGATCTTCTTGAACAATGGCACTATTCAGAACTTGCAGCCGCATTTTGCGGCCAGTCATCAACGGGCAGTGTGTTTCAACTATTCCTAAGAGATGCGGCTCATCATACTTTCCCATCGATGATTCCCTCTACAATCTCACTGATGATCAGAAACAGGTAAGCTAGCCTAATTTTTGTTGAGCTTTAAACTGTAGTTTAGAATATTTTTTATATGTATGTAATGTGATCATGTGGCAGTCTTATTATTGGTTAGAATCTAGATCTAGATCTAGATCTAGATCTAGATATCTAGATCTAGATTCTAGATCTAGAAGGTCTAGATTCTAGATCTGAGATCTAGATCTAGATCTAGATTAGATCTAGATCTAGTGTCAATTGCCACCGAGTGACGCGATGGCAATTGACAAAAATTGACTTTTTGTCAATTGCTACCGAGTAAATTGGAGCTCGGTAAGATTGAAGAATACCGGACCAGCGGATTGACTTTGCCTAGATCTATGTCTCAACCTTAGAAATTCATAATTTTCCCGTTTTTAATATCTCTCAATGGAGAATCTCGGACCGGTAGATCTATTCATTAAAATTTTGTCAGGGGGGAGACCCCCCTGAACCCCCCCTCCCCCTCATTCACCCCAACTACCCGCCCCACCTACCCCACATTCTCGCGTAATGATGTACGAGTGGTCCGGTATTCTTCAATCTTCCCTGGGAGCTCTTTTGCGTTGGTGGGTAGATCTAGCTTATTGTGTTCGAGTGCTCGGTGTTGTGTGTTCGCCTCTCTGTCCCTCTGTGTGTGTGTGTGTTTGTGTGTGAGTGTGTGTGTGTGAGTGTGTGTGTGTGTCTTTTCCTGACCCCCGTCCTCCGATTTATGTTCCCTGATAAAACGTGAATTTCTGCTTGAGTTTGTTTGCGTTTGTTGTGACCTTACAACTTCTAGAATTGCCTTTGTTGGTTCTACAGCAAAGTGTCTAAGGCTAGCCTAGGCCTAGATCTAGGCCTACGTCTCATTGAAAACATGCCAAGTTTGTACCGTAGCTCTAGACTAGTCGTCCAATTAAATTAGTTGAGGACAAATTGACCCATTAGACACACCATGTATAATGCTAAAGATAGTGTTGTTTTCAGACTTGACACCGTTTCACTCGGTGGCAATTGACAAAAAGTCAATTTTTGTCAACGGAGTGTCTACGTACACGGTAACTGGGCACGTAGCCTCAGGGTCTACATACACGGTAACCGGGCACGTAGCCTCAGTGTCTACGTACACGGTAACCGGCAACCGGGCGTGTAGTCTCAATGTTACGTACACAGCCACCGGGCGCGTAGCCTCAATATCTACGTACACGGTAACCGGCAACCAGGCGCCTCTCATTATCTACGAACACGGTAAGCGGGTATTTAGTTTCGTGGGGGAGGGGGGGGATTCAGCTAGGTACACGGTAACTGCTTTGCTCCCTTCTTGACGTTGACATTAATTTTTCATTTTTCACCGTGTAGTCTCAATGTCGTCTCAATGTCGCATATATACACGGTAACTGTGCCCGTAGCCTCAATATCT